AACCTGGTTCTGTTTCCTGGCTAGTGAGTGTGTAGCTAGGAGCATAGACATGGAAGTGTCTCTGTTGTGTTGACTGAGAATCCTTCAGACAGGCACCCAAGAGTGCCCTGGCTGAGTCACAGGGTTCTTCAATTGTTAAATTTTTGAGGTACCACCACACTGATTTCCATGGTAACTGGACAAATTTACATTCCCACCAATGGTGTAGTAGAATTCCTGTTTCCTCACTAGTGTGTGTTGTCATTTTTATTTTCTGATTGTTTTTAAGTTTTATCTATGTGTGTGGCTGTGTGTCCCTGGAACTGGGGTTAGATCCAGTTGTGAGCCGCCGGATCTGGTGCTGAGAACTGAACTTGGGTCCTCTGCAAGAGCAGCAAGTGCTCTTCACTCAGGGTTCTATTTCTTAATAATAGTCCTTGTGACTGGGGTGAGATGGAATCAAGGCCTCCTTACTCTGTATTTTCTTGGTGGCTAAGGAAGTTCGACACTATTTCGAGTATTTATTGGCCATTTGCAATTCTTCTGAGTTCAAGTCCATCCTGACTTATACAGCAAGTTCTAGGCAGCCAGCATTACATAGAGCTCTTAGCTTAAAAAAAAAAAACAAAAACCAAAAAAACAAAAAACCTGAAGCCAGGCAGTGGTGGTGCATGCCTTTAATCCCAACACTGGGGAGGCAGAGGCAGACAGATCTCTGTGAGTTCAAAGCCAGCCTGGTCTACATAATGAGTTCCAGGACAGGCAGGGCTATGTAGAGACCTTGTCTCAACAAACAAGCAAAATAAAAATCAAAACAAACAAAAAAATCTTGTGTGAAGATGTTAAGATTTTAAACTGGATAGGGTGGCTCACACACAAATTCACATTCACACACATTTGTACATTTACTTAGTGTGAATTTCCTTAGTAGATATGGCTTCCATAGACTAGTATGTTTGAATGTGTGGCCCATAGGGAGTGACACTATTAGGAGGTGTGGCCTTGGGATGGGTGTGGCCTTGTTGGAGGAAGTGTGTCACTGTGGAGGTGGGCTTTGAGGTCTCATGCTCAGGCTACGTGCAGTAGTCAGTCTTGCTGGTTGCTTCTTGTGGATCAAGATGTAGGACTCTCAGCTCCTTCTCCAGCACCATGTCTGTCTACACACCACCATGTCCCGCCACGATGATGATGGACTAAACCTCTGAAACCGTAAGCCACCTGATTAAATGTTTTCTTTTATAACAGCTGCTGTGGTCATGGTGCCTCTTCACAGCGATAGAAATCCTAACTAAGACACTTGGCATATGCATATGTGATCACATTTTCATTGGAAACTAGTGGAAACAAGCCTCTTTCCAAGCTTACTGGCCATTTATATTTTTTAAATTGACTGTTGTATGTCATTTACTTTTCTATTTTAGATATTACTATTTTTCTACAGCTTAACATGACTTCACTCTATACTGTAGTGGGAGCTCTTTGCTATGACATTATTTTTTTAGATTTATTTATTTATTTATTTATTTATTTATTTTGTCTGGGGCATGGCGATTGCTCATGATGTAACATATATGTGGAGGGCAGAGGACAACTTGCAAGATTTGTTCTCTCCATCCACCATGTGGGTCCTGGGGATGGAATTCAGGTCGAGAGATGTAGCATCACCTTTACCCTGTGAGCCAGCTTCCCGACTCTCACATTCTTGCACCTCCAAGCACCGTCTTTCCCCAGCTGCCTCTCAGTTTTCCTGCCAATTTGATTGGCTTTATGTTCTTGCTTTGATCATATGCTGGAAGAGGTGGTTCCTCAATGATAAAAATGTTCTGTATTTTCTTAGTACGTTGCATTCTTCATTTATGTTTCAACCTTTAATCCATTTAAGAATCTATTTTTGGACACAATGAGTGCTAAGATCCTTTCCTAATGAGCCAGGAGTTTCAATGTTAGTCCTAGGATAGCACATCGTTCAGCTTCTCCTTTAGGACAGTCTGAACTCCACACCCATTAGTCTGCCATGGCTCAGTCTCTCTTTCTCTTCAGACAGTTTAATAGATTCCTGCATCCAATCCTGTCTAATCACTGTAGCTTTCTAACATGCCTTGATAGCAAGAAAACACCTGTATTATTTTGTGATCAGAACTTTGAAGGCTTGTGTGTGTGTGTGTGTGTGTGTGTGTGTGTGTGTGTGTGTGTGCGCGCGCGCGATTGTGTGTGCTTGTGCATGCTTTCAGAGGATGGGGAAGCACCTTTGAATGACTGGGCTAGTCTTTGAGCTACAGAGATGTTTGTTCAGTCTGAACCTGGAGCAGATCATCCTGGGAAATCTGGGAAAATAAAAGAAGAGCTGAAGACACTTGGGTTCACAGAGGTTGATGCTCACAAGGCTTGCAGACTGAGGCAAGCAAAAAACAAAGTTGACCCAGTTATTTTTAGATGCATTGCAAGGTCCCTGGGCCCAAGAAGCTTTCACAGCTCCCAGCAACTCACTCAGATCTGGGTACAGTGCCAGCTGGGGTGAGTGGACTCCGGTCCTCCTGGATGCATAGGGACTTGAGGTTCTACCATAGGTGTTATGTTCCAGTGCCCCATAGTGTTCCAAGAAAATAAGTCTTATAATGTAGCCAAGCACTCCAGCCTGGTGCTGATCCTGCATCAGTCCCAGTGCCACCCAACACTGCCTCTTGTGAACACACACACACACACACACACACACACACACACACACACACACACCACAGGGCTGTGGCTTGGGCTCTCCCCTCTAGGCTCAGAGGTCTTAAAGCAGGGAACTCCTGTCTTAAGGCTCTCTTGTCACACAGGGACTTCAACCCCACTTGCACAGGAGCAAACTGGTAGATCTTTAGGAGAAGGCAGGGAGGCCAAGGACCTTGCCCTTGGCTCTTCCTTCCGGACATACTGAGCAATAAGGAGAGATGGTCCAAGACCTCTGTCCCAGTTATCTTTGACTGTCACTTTGATATAACCTAGAGTCATTTGAGAAGAAAGCCTCAATCGAGGAATTGCTAAGGTCAGGTTGGCCTGTGGACATGTTTATTGGGGATTGTCTTGATGTAGGAGGGCCAGGCCACTGTGGGTGGCATCATTCCCTGGGCAGGTTGTCCTGGATTGTATAAGAAAGCTAGCTGAGCATGAGCCTGAGAGACAGACAGTCAACAATGTTCCTTCATGATTTCTACTGCAAGATTCTACTTGAGTTCCTGCCCTGGCTTCCCTCACTGATGGCCTGTGACCTGGAAGTACAAACCACATAAATCCTTTCCTCCCTTAAGTTGGTTTTGTGTTTTATTATGGCGACAGAAAGGGCAATAGACAACCTCCCACTCAGACAAACAAGGGGCCCTCGGGGGCACCCAGGGCTGCACTGGAAATGGACGCTGAGGTCCTTTGGATCTCTGCAGTCCCTGAGCTGCACCGTTCTG